GCTCCTCCCACCTCAGGTTTGGAATCTCGGTGGCCAACAGGTCTGTGGACCTCTCGGAAGGCTTCCCCTTCATCAGGTAGTTATGGCCTGCAGGAGGAAAGCATGGGCTCTGCCTTGGAGGAGCCCCTGGACGGCCCTTTACCTTTCACAGCGTCTGTGGATCCGACCCCCCTCAGAGCTGCCTCTTCAGCCAGCTGCTCAATGCGGGAGCTGCCATGGGTAAGCATTCCCCAGCCTCGCCCGTCTCTGAAGCCCAGACCAAACAAGCCAGTCCCCAGTCCTCCTCCCCCCGACCCAGGGTCCGGCCCCAGCTCTCCTCCCTGAAATCCGGGAATTGTGCCCTCGCCCTTTCCCGTGTCCTCCCCTTCCACCGTCCCCACCTTGCTGGGGACTCCAGCCCACTGCCCTGTCCTCCCAGCTGCCTGGATCTGCATTGTGCGTTACCACCAGCTCCGGGACTGGGGCGTCGCAACGTGTCATAACCAGTCGATCCTGTGGTTGGGACTCCTCTGTGCTCTAGGGACGTCCATAGTAGGCAACTTCCAGGTGAGACGCAGCGGGTGCCCAGGGAACCGCTCCTGGTCCGGCTGTTGTGGACTACAATTCCCAGCGTTCGCCGCGGCCTCCGGCAGCCGGCGTCGGAAGCCGCGGTCGCAATTCCTCCTGGGACATGTAGTTTCCGGGCTCACCACAGTCAGGGAGGCGGCGGTCTGCATGGGGCGTTTGGGGGCTCATTGTCGGGCAAACTTGTGGAACCCCTGGAGGCTGGGGTAATTTTGTGCCAACCCCTGGTTTCATCGTGAAATTACTTGGGTTCACTCGTTCTTCGTGGTGGGCCCAGCTGTTGAGTGTTTCCTCTGTAGGAGGCGTTACCTTGTGGACATTAATTCTGTCATTAGCCCCAGAACTCTAGGTAGGTCCTTTGGGTCCTATGCTAGCGCTTTCAAATCAGCTTGTCCTTGGTGGACCGAAATGAACCTAGATTTATAGACTCTAGAACCCACAGTCACGAAGCTCTGTAGATATTTCTGGAATAAATGAATGGACAAATGATAAAAAGAAATTGTAGTGATTTATTTTGCTATTTTATTTTACTGTCATGTTCCTGAAACCCAGCCTGTCTTGCTGATATAATGGGGGCTGGGGAGAGAACACAGGCTGTTCAGACAAGAGGCTTTCTCCCCATCTCATTTGCATAGTAGTTCATTCACTCACCATTAAAGCCTGTGTTTCTCAATTTATTACTATAATATTATTATTATATTGCTTCCCTAAGGAGTCATTTTAAACATTCCCCCATTTTTTTCCTCCCCCAACAAAATTTTTAATGGTTAAAAACTTTAACATATATATTTGCTGTAAGTCACAAACCATTGATGGAATTTTTCACCCTCAAGAACAAATTTTTACCTCCTGGGAGGCAATATCTGTCCCTGCCCCTTTTGAGAATGCAAGATTCATTCCACTGTTTCCTGAGCATCTACTTTGTGCCAAGCACTGTTCTAGGCATTGAGGCTACAGTAGCGAGCAACAGATTTAAGCACCTGCCCTGTGGAGCTGACAATAGCCGAGGTCCCTGGTCAAAAGCCATCTGTCTGGCAGTTCTTGGGTTGGTCAAGGGCCCCTCTCTGTTATCACCCTCCCGCTGTCACAGTGTTCCTCTCAACTTTCCTTCCTCTGTTCCCCCAGGAAAAACACCAGAAGCCCACACACCTGGTGGGGGCCTTCCTCGCCTTCATAATGGGCAACCTTTACTTCTGGCTGCAGCTCCTTCTGTCCTGGCGGATGAAGGACCAGCCCCAGCCCGGAGCCCCCTGGATCTGGAGGCTGCGCCTGACCCTCTGCAGCCTCTGCTCCATCCTCACAGTGGCCAGTATCCTTATTGGCATGGGGGAGGGGGCAGGGCATGGGGTCAATTTTCTGCGCCCTTGCTATGTGCTGCCGAGGATGTCCTTGTCTTCGGGCCTCAGTCTCCCACAGGATCATCACAGAACGTGCTGGCTTTGAGGTCAGAAGGCCTGGAGTGGGGTCCCTTCTCCTCCAGGTGTTAGCTGGAGGGAAATCCCGCTGCTGCTTTCATGCCTCTGTGTCCTCACTTACCAAGCGCAGGAAGAACAGGTCCACCTGATTGTGAGGAGTGAGGAGGACAGTGCACGTGAGGTGCTGAGATCTGTGCCTGGCACGCAGGGAGGCCAGTAGTTCCGGGAGCATGACATCTTAGTAACAGTCTGTTTGGGCCCCGCCTCGAGCCAGGCATGGTGCTGGTGTCTGAGAATGGAGGCAGGTTGAGGCAGGGGAGGCTCTTGGCCAAAGCCCGTGGTGAAGGTCTGAGGAGTCAGTGATGGCTGCACCTCTCTTCTCAACTCTGAGTTCTGTGGCTTCAGGGAAATGTCTTGAAGTGGCCGTGGTGAGAGTATTTACACCAGAATATTTGCCAAATGCTCCAAGGAAAGCCTGTGTTAAGCGTTTGCCAGCATGCCTCTGCGGGAGACTAGTCCTGCTCATTTCTGAGTCACCCCAGAAGCAGACATGCTCCTGCAGCCTGGCACACCTCTGGGTGGGACCCTGGGACCCTCCCTCTGAGCCTGGGTCCACATCCTTTATCGTCATGAGTAATTCTGATAGGGAGTTCAAGTGCATGGAGAGACAGCAGGAGCCTGTTAGTGAGCAGGCTGAGGGACTGGTTTAGTCCCTTGCTGGAGCCTTGTTGGTAAGATCCAGCTGGTCCCTTGGAATCTTCAAAACCAGGGCTGCCGATCAGGTGGGTCGCAGGGAGCGGGAAGGAGCCATAGACAGCCAGCCCAGAGGGATAAGAGCCAGAAGTCTGTCAAGATGGGTCTGAGAGTCTAAGGCTGGTCCTGCAGATGTTTGTCCCAGCTGGGAAGTTGGGGGAGGAACAGGTGTGTGCAGAGGTGGAAAATCAGCTGAGGAAAGGGAATGAGGAGGCTGGTCAGGCCAGGAGCTCAGGACCTCCAACATGAGGGGTCGCAGGCCTGAGTGACGGGAGCCATGGAAAGCCCGGGAAACAGGGGCAGTCCTGCCTGGGGTAAGCACGTTCTTCTTGAGGACTCCCACCTGACTTGCTGTGAGACTCCCAGGGCCAGGGATGTCGCCATATTTACCATCTGATCCCACTGCCTGGCACATAAGGAATTCGGAAATCCTTGAGTGAATGGAAAGACAGAATCTAAGCTGATCTAGGCGGGGCAGGCTGGAGCTCTATTTGATACAAAGGGGAAGGGGGCTCCAGTGGGAGAGCTTCTAGGAAACAAGAACTTTCCCTGTGCGGCTGGAGCTCCGAGGCTGCGTGGGCTGGTGGTATGGAAAGAGGCTTTAAGGAGTTGGGTTTGGAGAGCCAGAGAAGGGGAGGGGTGGGGCCTTTGAGAGGAAGGGTAGAGAGAGGGGACCAGCTGGCCAAGGTGGAGGAACAAGGGGAGAACGGGCCCGGGGGAGATTCGGTTGTGGGGGGCTGTGGGTGAGGTGGGAGAGGATGTCTGGGCCAAGCTGTGGACAGCCCGAGCCTGGTGGGGAACACCTGGAGGTCGCAGCAACGGTGTCCCGCCAGAAGGCGGGGAAACGGCAGAGCTGTCGTGGAATCGGGAAGGGTCAGCGGGACAGAGACAGGCCTGAGGAACTCGTGTGCACTTTAACCAGAGGTCACATGCAAGGATGGAGAGTGGGGACGGGAGGACTTGGGTCTGGAGAAGGAGGCGAGAATCTGAGCTGAGTGGGGAGCAGCTGGCCTGCCATTCAAGTCGCGGCAGGATGAACAGCTCATGAGAGACACCAGAGATGGCCTCGGCCTGGCCCTCAGTCCCACAGCGGCTGAGCTGGTGCCTGGGCTCTTCTTGGAAGCCGTGTGGCCCTTGACTCTGGTGCAAAGTGATCATCCTCTACTTCTGGCCGCCGCGCTCTGCCTCAGCTATCTGTGAGTGGGCCGTGGCCATGCTGCTCTTCACACTCTTTGGCCTCTTCGCTGTGGACTTCTCCCGCCTGGACAGCTGCAGCCTGAGCCTTCAGCCTCGGCAGGACCTCAGTCCCCCACCAGGCTCCCCTGTATCCCTGCAGGTCCAGCTGTAGCAGGCTCTCTGACTGGGCCCCGCACTTACAGGAGGAGAAAGAACAGGCCCATCCCTGGTTCCCCCCACCAAGATGGACCACTGGGGGTCTCTCCTGCCGGCTGGCTCTGGGGGCTGCTGACCACTCCTGTCCTGGAGCCTAGTGGATGTGTGCATGTGGGGGCTTGGAGCAACCAGTCAGAGCCAACATGCTGGTGCCCGCCTGTCCTGCCATCCGGGCACCCAGGAAGCGAGGCCAAGGCCAGCCAGCTGTCCCTGATGGAGGCTGTTTATTATTGGTTCTTGTTGCCGCCGGTGGAATCAGAGACACGGACGCAGGCAGGCTCACGCGAAACCAGAATTCCTTCCGGAGAGCAAATCCGTACAGAAGGTTGATGGGGGGTGGGGGGTGAAGGACCAGGAGAGGAGGGGCCCGGGAATGGGGAGTTGGGGACACACAGGGACAGAGGGGCCCTGTCCGGATCTGCTAAGCCACCCCAACCAGCTCCCATCCCTCCCCCACCCCACGCAGAGTTTGATCAATAAATAAAATAATAAATTAATCAATAAATAAAATAGAAACGGCTCCCCATCCCTTTTCCCCCTAGAACCCACCCCCCGCTGGGTATGGCCCGGGAGCCCCATCCCTACAGGGCCAGGCCGGTCTTGTGTCCCCCCTCCCAACATACTCCTTGGGCCTTATTTACAGATTCACAGTTGGGGGGCAGGGAAGGGGGGTGGAGGGGGCTCCCCTCCTTCCCCGGCCCCCTGGGGTCAGGGCAAAGGGGTCCCATTGGTGGCCAGGAGCTTCTTGTCCTTGGGGGGGCCTCGGCGGGGAGAGCCACTCAGCTCGGGGTCTGGGCGGCTGGGTGGGGGCTGCAGGCTTCGGGGTGGGGCACCGGCAGGCCGGGTCTGGGCCCCATTCTTCTCGTCTGTGAGGGAGGAAGAGGTTTTGTGGGGTTCCAGGGCTGCTGGACCAGGGCTGACGTTCCCAACAGCTGGTCTCAGCAGCCCCAAGATCCTGCTGGGGCAGAATCCTATTCTCCATCTGTGGGACTTCAAGCTCCTGATGTGGCTGCCAAGGGGACGCATCCTGGCTTTCCTAGGTGGGGAAGCACCCGGCAGCCCCTGTGGCTTTGGAAATGGCCCAGTTAGTCCCAGTGAGGCCTGGGCCCCTTCAGCTTCAAGGGACTCTCAGGGGCAGCTGCTGGGGCAACACAGGTCAGAGTCACCCTCACCTCTGGCTAGTTCCATGGGCATGGGGCCGGGGGGCCACTGCAAGTTGCTTGGGGGTCCCAGGCCCTCCTGGTTGGGCGTCCTGACTCATGCCACCCCGTGTGGGACTTGGCCTTCCCAGATGGAGGCTACTTGCTCTGGGGACTGCAGTGCAGATGCTGATGGCAGGGTGGTAGTCTAGCCATTTCCATGGGGGACTGAAACATTATTTGAGGTCCCTGATGGAGACCAGGTTCCTCTAATACATGCTGATGGCTGGGGACAGGAAGCGGGGGGTACCTCATTGCCATAGCAAACCCATGAAGCTCTGCTTCCAGGGCACCCTATTTTCTTTACAAGAAAGGTGGGCCCTCTTGGGACCCCTGGTGGCTGAGGCCACCTTTCCTTGGCAACGGGACCAATGGGCCTAATTTTCCCTCTGGTCCCCCCCTAGCACCCACAAGGAGAACAGGATTTCTGACTGGGCATTGTGTGTGTGAATGTGTGGTGCAGGGGACTGAACACAGGGGTGCTTTACCACTGAGCTAGTCTCCAGCCCACCCCACCCACCTTTTTTTTTAGAGCATCTTACTAAATTGTTTAGAGCCTTGATAAGGTGCTGAAGCTAGCCTCAAACTTGAAATCCTCCTGCCTCAGCCTCCCGAGTTGCTGGGATTACAGGCATACACCACCATGCCCAACTTCCAGCCTTTTTGAAAATTCTCTATTTTGAGACAGGGTTTTGTTAAGTTGCAAAAGGTCTTGCTGAGTTGCCCAGGCTGGCCTGGAACTTGAGATCCTCCTGCCCTAGCCTCCAGAGTAGCTAAGGATTGCTGGTGTGCACCAGCGTGGCATGATTGACATTTAGGGCTTAGATAACCCTGTGCTGCGAGGCAGCTTCCCTGATCTCTGCCTACAGGACACCACTAGTGTTCCCTGCCCCCAAATTGAGAGAACTAAAAATGCCTGCAGACACTGCCAGATATCCTCCCGGGGCGCTGTTCAAGGCTTGGCCCCCAACGATGTCCACATCCTAATGTCAGAACCTGACTGTGCTACCCCATGGGGCAGAAGAGACTGAGCTGGATTAAGGTGAAGCACCTCGGGTGGGGAAATCATCTTGGAATCTCTGGGGAGATGCAACTTGGCCACATGAGTCCTTAAAAGAACCTTTTCCAGTTAATGTCAGGGTCAGCCTAGTGTCATGGGCTCTGAATACACAGGAAGGGGCCATGGGCAGAGCAGCATAGGCAGGCTCTAAGGGGTGCAGAAGGCAAGCGTACGCTGTACCTAGAGCCTCAGGAGGCATGGTGGCCCTTGTACACCCCAACATCAGCTCAGTGAATGCCATGTGTTAACAGTGCTTATTAACCCAGGGGCAAGACACCCCGTCAAGAGTCTCAGGTCCCAGAGCAAAGACCTGACCCTGGGACCCAGCATTCTCCAGGGACAAGGCCACATGGCTCCTGCCCCATTGCTGGGTCTCCTTTGCCTATTTCCATTCATGGGGCAGGGGACAGAGGCTGGGAAGGAGCAGAGAGACCTGTGAGGCTCCTGCTGCCAGACTTCCCCAGGGCAAGCGACTGTCCCCTGGTGGCCATGGTGTGCCTGGCACCTGCACTTGCTGTCTCGTGGGACCCCTGTCCAGGAGAGGCCATAGTGCCTCAGGAGTGGGACCTGCTTTCCTGAGCGGGAGCTCCCGTCCTCACCAGTACCACGGTAGGCACACCTGTGTGAACGGTGTGTCCCCCAGATTTGTCTGCTGAAGTCCCAACCCCAAAGTGATGGTATAGGGAAATGGCTTTTGGGAGATGACCAGGTCATGGGGGCGGAGACTATGTGAATGGGGTTGGTGCCCTTGTGAGAGACCTGGGCAGCTCCTCTGCTCCTTCCCTCAAGTGAGGACTGAGGGTGCGCCATCGACGAGCCAGGGATGGACGCCAGCCAGGCCCTGAGTGTGTTAGTGCCTTCCTCTTGGACTTTCAGCCTCCAGACTGGGGACAACGCATTTCTGCTGTTTCAGAGTCACCCATGGTATTTTCTTATCGCGGCTCAAAGGGAGTAAGACGTTTTGGCAACAAATCCTGCAGAGGGAGGCCTGGCCTCTGCTCCGCCCCCTGATTGCTACAGACCACTAGACCCTAGCAACAGGGCCAGCTGAGGCCTGAATCCTCGAATGCCAGTGACATCTGAGTCCTGCAAAGAGGACCATCAATTTGTCCCAGTTTCCAACTAAAAGTCTTGCATCCCAGAACCTCCCATCAGTGCCAGGGAAACCAGGATGACGGGCCTTGCTCATCCTGCGGAGCAGAGGTCCAGAACCTCTGTGCCAGGATGTTCCACTGCCCCCAGCTGCATGGCTACTCCGGGAGGCCAGCATTCAGATGCCGGGGGTCCCTTCTCTGGCTTCGGCCTTCGGGAACCTGCTCAGAAGGCAAGGCCTCAACACATGGAGGGCCAAGAAGCCCAACAGGTGGGCTGGCTTCCTCACCCTGAGGCCCTGTCTGCCTCCACCCACGGGCCCTGCCACCCACCTGCCAGGGCCTGCACAGAGGGCTGGTCGTGAGTGCTCAGCAGCTGCGCCTGGATGGTCTCCACCACGCGCTTGAATCGTCGGCTGGGACCTGGGGGCAGGCGACAGGAAGCACTGACTTGGGAGGGTAGGGAAGCCCTCCTGGCTGCAAAGCCCAGCCTCTCCACCAAGCAAAGACTCCTCTAAGCCTCAGCTTCCCCACTCTGTGGGGACAGCATAGAACCAGGTTTGCAAATGGGTCTCTACCTTGCTATTTAAAGAACTGTTCAAACTAAGACACCCTCAACTTAAAATAACAACAGGTGTGGGCTTCTATTTAAATAGAAGCTGTTGCTTATTTGTTTCTAGTTGAGGCCTTGAAGAGCCAGACACATGAGAAAAATGAGTGGGAGAAAAAATAAATTAAAATGAAGAAAGTTCTGCCTATTAGTCTTAGGGGGAGGGGAAAAAAAAGGGCTCTAATTCTGTCCAGTGTCGGGGCACCCAGGGTTCCCCTGCAGCCTGCTTTAGAAACCTCTGGAGCTCTCTCTCTCTCTCCTGGTGTGCAGTTAAGATCAGCGATGAGGAGAGCAAACAGAGATGGCCCTTGTTATCCAAGCTCCCACAGCGAGGATCAGGAACAAGCCGAGCTGGAGCAAGGCCTTCCTGTGGTTTCCATCTCTTGACCCATTCTTGATTGGCCATGGCTGCAGCCAGGCTCAGCAGGGAGACTGCTGCCATTGGCTGTGATGTCAGCGCTGCTTCGGGACTGATCTTTAAGGGCAGCATGCTAGTCTTCCTCTCATCTAGGATCTTAAAGTCGCAGGAAGAGCTCTGCTGGGGACCATGAGGTCAGGAGGCCAAGGTTGAGCCCCAGCTCTGCCCAGCTTATTGTGTGGCGTGGTCAAGTCCATTTACCTCCCCAGGGCTCAGTTTTCTCTTCTGTAATATAGGTGACTGCCAACACCCCAGAGGCTGCTGGGGAACTTCCATCCAAGGATGCACTCATTATTTACATTGCAAACTCTCCCCAGGGAAGAGAAGGAGCTCAGAGCAGCAACGCCCTCTCCCTCTGGCTGCCCTCCTGGCCCACTCTCCTCTCTAGACGTCTTACACACAGGGAACACAGGGAGCAGTCCTGCTGACTCACTCACCGGAAATGAGAGTGAAGGTGACGGAGTAGATGCCACCGCCACTGCTGCCATCCCGGCGGGGGGAGGGCTCTGGACCCTCAGAGGAGCTGATGTCCACCTGGAAGCGGACGGGCTTCTGGAAGACGGAGGGACCGCCACTGGCCTTGTACTCAGCCCTGAAGCTGGTCTGGGACAGCACACTGTGACTCAGGCTGGGGATCTGAAAGGCAACCCAGGATGGAGTGAGTGTCTACCCTACAACTGTCTGTGCTCCAGGAGAACAAGTCCCATGAGCCACCAGGGGAAGAGCCGCAGGAAAGGCCTTGGG